TCTGATTGGCTTTGTTGCTGTGGTTGAGGCTGTGCTGGAGGTGGAGGCCGAGGTTGAAATTGTGCTGCTATCAGAAAATCGACCTTCTTGCACAAATCATCCAAAACTTTCGTGTCCTTTTCTCGTAGAGCAAGATATTGCATGTGGATGGTTTCGGCTGAATGAACAGTTTCTCTCATGAAGTTCATGATAGTCCGTGGGGACTCTGCAGTGGATTCTTCCTCAATGTTTGTTGGCGTTGTGTCCATGTGATCACCTTGAGGTGGTGCTTCCCGTTTTCCACCACTGGCTGAGCTAAGAAGAATTGGTGAGGCTTCCAGTTTGCCCTCATGCACATTTTCGTTCTCTTGCTTGATTGGAGTCTCGTCCATGGGTTGGATATGTGGAACAATGGCACGAGATAGATCTTCGAAATGAGAAGTTGAGACTTCTTCCGAGTCACTACTGTCAGAGGGTAGTTTTCTTAAAGGAGATCTTTGAGGATAGGTGTCATAGTCTGAACCGATCAAAATTATATGACTGTCTTCGGGGTTGGCTTCTTGAGCACCTTCATTACCCATCTGATCATCATCATCATCATCATTGTTATCATCATCGTTATCATTATTCTCGTCATCAGCATTATCATCATTATCATCATTCTCGTCATCAGCATCATCATCATTATCATCCACATCTTCATCTTCATCACTTTCGTCTTCTTCAATCTCTCGTCCAAGTTCATCCTTCGTGCCACTAACATTGCAGTTTGAATCATTTTGGTGTTCCTTTTCCAATGCGGTCTTGATTTTGGATAGCAACATAGCATATCGAAGTTGCTTCAATTATTCTTCATAGACTGGATCCAAGGGTGGCTTATTAAGTTCGATGCAGATTGGGGTTTTATCTCTCCCGAGAGTGCGATTCTTCATTTTGTATGAGAAGACTCGATTGATTTCTTCAATTCGAAGAGCTTTGGAAACATCATCAGTGCCAATCCATTCAAGTGCAAAGGCTTCTTCATCCTGCATTGCTTCAAATGTTTCAAGAAAAGTCCTTAGGGGAGCAGTTCGCCACTTTTGCCACTGCAGGACTCGTTTGTAATCCCTTTCAATGGATTCTCTGAGCAATTGATCTCGTGAAGGTTGAGGAACTTTTACTTCAGGAGCTGGAGCTGAAGGTTTCGAGAAATCCGGAGATGTTACCTGCACAACAGCTGTTTCATCTACCAACACAGGTTCTTGTGTCAGAATTACCTGCTCTGTATTGGTAGGTTCTTGTGGCAGACAGGGCAAATTGATCAAAGCATCAGTCGCCTCTATCGTCTTTTCTGGTGACCCAGGTTCTTGTGGAAGACTTAAGCGACTGGCCTCCATGTCTACATCAGTAGGTTCTTGTGTCAACTCACGAAGAAGTTGATCTGCCAAAGTAGGTTCTTGTGTATGGTGGTCTTGAGGAGAACCGAGATCAGATTGGGGTTCTTGAACATCAGAAATTTTCTCAGGAAGAACAACTTTCGGTTGAGCTTCCCCCTCAGAAAGTGCTTCTTTCGTGACTACTTCACCCTGTGGAGATGCTTCTTTCGTGTCTGCTGCTTTCGGTGTAGAAGGTTCCTTCGGGAAAGATTTAGGCTTGACAGGAGACCGAAAGTGACTCTTTTTGATAATTCTAGAGAGGATCAGATTGTCTTCGTCTTCGGATGAATCTTTGACAAAGATTGTTTCTAGTAGAGGTGAAGGTGGAATTGGATCTTTCTTCTCTTGCGGAGATTTTGGAGGGACTGGAACAGCTGGAGTTTCTTCTGCCTTTTTTGCCTTACTCCGAGAGGAGTGTTTTTCTCGTTTTTGTCATTTCGGCTTGGGTTGATCATCTTCTGAAACCCTAGGTGTTCTCGACCTCCTCTTGGCTTTGACCTGCTCAATAGGGACTCCCAACTCCAATGCCTTCTGCTTGTCATACCCTGATGGTTTTTGTTTCATGTGACATGCTTTTTGTCCAGGCCGAATTCCTGGGCGCAGAATGACTCCTTTCGTTGCCAGAAGATGGCTTATCACAAAACCATATCCTAACTTCTTTGCAATGTCTCCTGGACTCTTTCGATGAAAGGTGATGGTGTGAACAATATTGTTGAAGATGATCTTTGACCAGTCGACCTTAAATTCATTTAAGAAGGCATGCAGCATTTTCAACTTCTCCTTCGTCACATCATCAGTGCCCGAGGTCTTGTGATCAACAAGTTTATTGAAAATATCAACAGTAAACTCATAATCTAGCCGGAACCACTTCTTCTTCAACGGCCATGTGATTTCTGTCTTAGATGGTGCATGATTGTTCTTGATGGATTCATAGAACTCCTCTGGATCGAGATGATAATAGATAATATCCGACTTGTAGGACTCATCTCTCTGTGGAAACCCGTATGTTGATCGAACGTCCTCCGAGGTAAGGACCACATGATGATTATTGACTCTGGAAGTAATAGTCAGATAATCAGAGGATATTGAAGCATTCATATAGAACTGGGTTACGTCAACCGGGTGCCAAATAGTATAAAGATGTGTGATAAAGCCATATAATCCTGTTTCTGTGAGGAGATGTATGATATTTTCACCAAATCTTCTATCCAAGATGTACTCAAGGAATCCATGCGCGTCCCACATACTTCCCCCGATGATGAAGGGTACTCTGGATTCAATGAATCTCAGGTCTTCAGTTGGAAAGCTTGGGACTTCCAGGTTGGAAGGTGTTTCTGGTTCTGTATTAGATAGTGATGCTTGTGGATGTTCCGCCATAGTTGAGGATTTGAGAGAGACAAAGGATTATGAGGGATGAGAGAAAGAATTGTGTGAAAAAGGTAAGGTAAAAAGAGCAAGAAGGTTTAAGTAGGGTTTGATAGAACTCCTGGTATCCGGGTATGGATAATCCATTTAGAGATGAATTGTTTGAATTTCAAAAGCACTCTCGGTTATTCTTCTCCAAAAGGTAACTGATCAACGTGGGGGAGTGATAAGATCGTGTGCAGATCAAAAACGATCATTCCCGCAATTAATGAGGTAAGAGAAAATCACTCGAGTGCTTATGGGTGCATTAAATGCACGTCACATCATGTATCAGACAGAGTGGGGGAGTGGACCACTTTTCTCGGCCACATGATCCCATTAAGATCCATCTAAACGGTTGGAAATAAAAGCTGAAAACATCAAGCATTTTTAGGCATGATTCCAAACCTGAAAGTAGATAGGATTTTCATAACATAAGACTTGTGAGACAAATAAAGTCAAACAGGTCCTTTTTACAATAGCAGAGATGCTTTTCCCGAGAGAGTTATTACACAGTACAGTACGTAACACAAACAATTACGATCTCTCGTGCATTAGAAGGCAGGCTTGCCTTTTACTCATTGCTACCCTTTTTCTTTCGTGCGTACTCAAGGTATTCCCTCTTTCGGATTTCATGAGCAAACACTTCAGCGATGAGTGTCTCGTGATCTGCTCCCAAGGTTTCCCTAGAGAGACCTCGTCTCTCCATGTCATTCAGTTCAGCCATTACTTTGGCCTTAGCAAAAGCGTACAATAAGTCCTCTTGTTTCAGCCATTACTTTGTTTCTCGTGATCTGAAGATTCAGGTTCTTCCTCCTGATCATATTTCTCCATTAAGTCCTCTTGTTTCAGAAAAGCCATATAGTCTGGGTCTGGAATCTTGGTAGGATCTTTCGAAAGCTTCTCTTCACTTTCAACAATAAAACCCGCCATATCATCATACTGAAGAGATGAGTCGGAATCAGAAAGAATTTCCACTGGTGCTTGTGGACTGTTACTAGGGTAAAGATCACCCTGTTCCTCCCTGAGACGTCTAGCACTTTCTCTCAGTTTGTGAGAGTCACCTCTAGTGAAAGGCTTCTTTGGAGCCATAGTGAAGAAAAGAGATGATGAAGATAAAGTGAAGAATTCTTCTCCTTTTATAGCAAGAGATCCATACTGTTCATGTGTCTGTCACACATATTTTTCAACGTAGCAATAAATGCTCATAAATATGTTCAAGGAGTAATCAATCCCAGGCAAGACTTTGACTGTTAACTTGTTTCTTTATGAAACTCCAACTTCAGTGAGCTTAAAAGTCATGTAACTCATAATAAATTATGGCCCCTTTTTGACCGGATTAACAATTGAGTGATGAGATTTCCTGTGACTTTTGACAAGAAACAGACAAAGTTAAACATAGTCATGAATTGCATTTATTCTTAGTACGAAAAGATAACATTTTTATTGGATCATAAGGATGAGAGACAGAGAGTTTCAAGTCACGAGAGTACAACATACAACAGCTTAGAGAAAACGATAAGGCACGTGAAGTTCCAGACGAGTCATCTCTTCGGTCACATCAGTCAGATTTGCTTTCTTTGCATATTCATCCAGCTCCTCAAGTGAGAGAGTGGGTTCAGATGACTGAGTTGAGGACCGAGAGTGAACCATAGCGAAATCTTCTTGAGATTGTACACTAGGTTTAGGAACTTCAGGAATAGGATGCCAGTGAGAACTTTTCATCATCAGAACTTTCTCTTTAGCAAGCCGTGTGGCTTGTTCCATGCAGTATGCCTTCTTAGCCCTGGACTCATTGACCAATTTGTCAAGAGTTTCCTTCTCCTTTGGTGCTGTGTTAGGCATGGAGTAGGTTACGATGACCCTTTCCCCATCTTCTTCCAGCCTAATGATGGTGGCATTCGGTAGCTTGCTAGCTTCTTGCATATGATGTTTTAGACGTTTAGCCCTTTTCTCAACTTCACCGATCTTTCCTTTCCCTTTGTCCATTCCTGCAATCTTTTTCCTTTTCTAAGAACTTGTGAATGAGTAAAGCTCATGAAATAGAAGAGTAATTTATAGACAAAAGGTATCGTGCGAATCTTAACAAAATCTTTTAGATACTGACATCATTTTGAAAAGATAACGAAAGATAGAGTTATAAATTAAAAGATCATGAACATGATAACATCACAACTTGTCACCGTGGCCTAACAAAGTTATTCAGGCTTTCTTTTTCTTGCTGCTTGCGGTGGACTTGAGAGGGGATGCTATCTTAGTAGGAGTGCCTGAGGGTGAGTAGTCAAAACTATCACTTAGTTCCAGCACACTGTCTTCCTTGACATATCCAATAGGGTTGCCAACAGAGTGGAAAGATTCTCTTGATTCATTGTCGGTTGTGTCACGGAGAAGGTTTCGTATGTGTTGAGCGTGTTCAAGAAATTGATTAAGCTCTTGCTCAGTCACTAGTGGCTCACTGAGAATTTCACTCTTTTCCTCTCGTGCCTCCGTAATGGTTCTTTCGCTTTCCGTACTCATACCTGCACATGCAAAAAAAAAACACTAGAGTTTTTGTTAGATATGAAATTTTATATCCTCGTAGTGTACCTCATTTATAAGGATCCTTGCGTTTGAGGATGGATCAAATCTTTTAATTTTTGAGAGCAAGAATCTTTGCAGATTTGATTCTCTTGGCTTTATGTCATTTCAATCATTCCGAGTTCATGCCTTAGAGAAGAGAATCTTGCTTCACTCAAGGGTTTCGTGAGTATATCTGCAAGTTGATCATCAGTATTAACATACTCAAGAGATATGTCTTTCTTCTCGACATGATCACGAATGAAGTGATACTTAATATCAATATGCTTAGTCCGAGAGTGTAGCACAGGATTATGCGTAATGGCGATTGCACTTGTGTTATCGCATTTTATGCTCACTTCTCGTGCATTTATGCCATAATCTCTCAATTGATGTCTCATCCATAAGATTTGAGCACAGCAGCTTCCAGCTGCTATGTATTCGACTTCAGTCGTACTTGTGGCAATAGAGTTTTACTTCTTGCTAAACCAAGACACAATTCGTCCTCCTAGGAACTGGCAGGTTCCTGAGGTACTTTTTCGATCAATTCGACACCCTGCGAAATCAGCATCTGAGTATCCAACTAGATCAAATGATCCATCTTTCGGATACCAGAGACCGATACTTTGCGTTCCCTTAAGATATCTTAATATCTTTTTAGTTGCACTTAGGTGACTTTCTTTCGGCTTGGCTTGAAATCGTGCACATACACCAAGAGCAAACGAAATATCAGGTCTGCTTGCTGTTAGGTATAAAAGAGAACCAATAATACCTCGAAAGTTTGTTTGATCAACATCTTTTCCTTCATTGTCAACATCCATTCTGAGGGATGTGCTCATTGGAATTTTAACCGAACTTTTTCCATCAATGCCAAATTTACGGATTAAATCCTTGGTATATTTGGCTTGATTTATGAATATTCCATCTGGGCATTGTTTGACTTGCAAACCCAGAAAATAGTTCAGTTCACCCATCATACTCATCTCAAATTTGCCTTTCATAAGATTGGAGAACTTTTCACACAAGATTGGATTCGTGCTTCCGAAGATATGTCATCAACGTAGATTTGTACTAAAAAATATGGTCATTATCTTTTATACGAAAGAGAGTTTTATCAACCACTCCTTTCGTGAAGCCACAGTTGATAAGAAAGTATGAAAGGGTATCATACCAGGCTCGTGGAGCTTGCTTTAAGCCATAGAGAGCCTTTCTGAGATGATAGACCTTTTCAAGCTCATTATTGATTGCAAAGTCAGGTGGTTGTTCAACATATACTTCTTCTTCAAGAAGTCCATTTAAGAAAGCACTCTTGACATCCATTTGATAGACTTTGAAATTCTTATAGGCTGCAAAAGCTAGGAATATGCGAATAGCTTCCAATCTAGCTACAGGGGCAAAGGTTTCATCAAAATCAATGCCTTCTTCTTGGCAATATCCCTTAGCAACAAGATGAGCTTTGTTCCTAACAATGAGCCCATCTTCACTCATTTTGTTTCTAAACACCCATTTAGTTCCAATGACATTCTGATGAGATGGTCTCGGAACAAGTTCTCATACCTCATTTCGTTCAAATTGATGAAGCTCTTCTTGCATGGCTATTACCCAGTCAGGGTCTTTTAGGGCTTCTTCTATAGTTTTTGGTTCCATTTGAGACAAGAAGCATGCCATCATGCTTTCGTGTAGAGAGGCTCTTGTTCTTACACCTTCTTGGACATTTCCAATAACCTGATCTGGTGGATGATCTCTTAACCATCGAAGGTCTGGTTCAAAGGTATCTTGTTGATTTTGAGCATCCATTTCAGGAATATATGGTAGATCAATGTATATCATTGGTTCAGATGTTGTGGTACTTGTAGGATCATTCTGTTGAATTCCCACCTTTTCTTGAGACACAGGTTCGGGTTCTGAAACCTTTGGCTGATATTTCGTGTAGGACGAAAGTATGTCTTCTTCGTCTGAGATATCTTCGTCAATAGGTTGCTGAGGATTTTGACTTGATTTGATTGTTGTTTTACATACAGATGGATTCTTCTCAGATTGTTCATCAAACTTGACATGAATGGATTCCTCAATCACCATTGTTCGTTTGTTTAGAACTCTGAATGCTTTGCTTACTAAGGAGTATCCCATGAATAGCCCTTCATCAGCTCTTTCGTCAAAAGCTCTTAGATGATTCTTTCCGTTGTTAAGTATGAAGCACCTGTAACCAAAGACATGAAAATAGCCGATACTAGGAGTTTTACCTTTCCATAGCTCATATGGTGTCTTGTTGTGAGATTTGTTGATCAACGATCTATTTTGTGTATAGCATGCCGTGTTTATGGCTTCGGCCCAAAATCTCTTAGGTAGTCCTGAGTGCGAGATCATCGTTCGTGCAGCTTCTTTCAAGGTTCTGTTTCTCCTTTCGGCCACTCCATTTTGCTGAGGAGTTCGTGCTGCCGAGAGTTGATGAAAAATTCCGTTTTGCGCACAAAATTCCTTTATGACTTTGTTGACAAATTCCGTTCCCTGATCTGATCTTATTCGTATTATTTTGAGCTCCTTTTCTGTTTGAAGTTGTCTCAAAAGATTTGGGAGAGCTGTTTCTGTTTCATTCTTCTTTTTCAAGAAAAGCACCCATGTATATCTTGTGTAGTCATCTACTATAACAAGAGTATACTTTCTTCCACTCAAACTTGCTGGATCTACTGGTCCGAAGAGATCCATATGTAGAAGGCTTAGAGATCGAGAGTTTGCATCTACATCTTTTGACTTGAAAGATTACTTGAATTGCTTCCCTTTTTGACATGCCTCACATATTTTATCTTTCGTGTAAGATATTTCGGGTAGCCCTCTTACGAGATTTCCTTTGGCAAGCTTGTTTATCGTCTTCAAGTTCAGATGACTTAATTTGTTGTGCCATTCTTGATTGAGATCTGCATTACTTTTGGCTACAAGGCAAATGTTAGCATTAGAAGAATTTAAAGATAATACATACATGTTCTTCTTTCGTTGACCCGTTAAAGCTGTCTTGTTATCTTTCGTGTTCACGATTTTACATTCGTCTTTGAGGAATTCTACTTTGTATCCTTTTTCACAAAATTGACTTGTGCTTAGGAGATTGAACTTCAGTCCTTCAACATAAGAGACATCTTGTATTGTTATTCCCTTTTTGATGATGTCCCCTTTTCCACGAGTTTTGCCACTGTTTTCTCCTCCAAAGATAACTTTGGATCCATCTACTTCCTCAAAGTTGCTCAACATTGATTTATCACTAGTCATATGTCTTGAGAATCCACTATCAATATACCATATGACATGTTTTTCCTGCATCAAAGATTATGTGTTTTTAGGTACCCATTTAGTTTCGGGTCCTTGGGGGTTAGCAGTCAACTTTGGAACCCACATCAACCTAGAGTATCCACGACTCATCCTCGGTCCTCTATATCCATTAGATGTACGATAATTATAATGGATGCTGGCAAAGACTTTAGCATTATATTTCTTACGTTGTTCTTCCTGAGGAGGATTCTAAGAATGCTTGAGATGATTAGTTTGTTTACGCAGATGAACCTTTTCAAATACAGCTCTGGGGAGAGGTTCTGGGTAATCAAACCAATCTTCTTCTGATGGCCCAGTCCATCCATTGCCATAACCAGATCTTTTGAAGGATCTTTCGGGTTGTCTGATTTGTCCGTTCTTTGAGATTCCTTGAGCAGGATTCTTTCGTGTGAATTTCGGACGATATTGCCTCTGATTAACATTCATCTTTTTCTTGGATTGAGTGTTCCAGTTAGGCTGACCTCTTTTATGGTGTAGATTCAGTCTATTGCCATTTGGTCCATTCCTTTTGACATAGATTTGTCTAGGATTGCCATTACCGGATTTCTCTTTTCCAGATTCCACAATTCGTTGTACAGCTGTACCTTTCGGTTGGCTTGTTGATTGTGGTGTTTCGACATTGTTAACTATCATCATAGGCTCAGACACCTGGGTGGGTCCTTGAACAAATGCAGCCTCGAAGCTTTCGTGTGAATATGCATTCGTGGATTTGTTCATTTCGACTTGTGAAGAGGAGCTGGGGTTAAAACCAATTCCAGTTCTTTCCCCGGGCAGTCTGGATTCATTCATCATTCTATCCATTAGGTTGGATGAATTATTGAATTTATCCAAGACTTCAAGCAGTTCTTGCTCTCTCTTCTCTTTTGCTATGCATTGCTCCTTTAGAGCGAGAACATCTTTCTCAAGCTGCTCCTTAGCAATGATCAGCACATTGTTCTCAATACGAACTTGCTTTAGTTCATTGTAGCTAAGCATGAGCCAAGAGTTCTCCTCCTTGAGTTTGGAGTAAGTGCTATTTATTACTTTGAACCTCCTCATCATTTCGGTGACAGATTCATTGGAGGTAAGACTTCCCATAGAACTTGACTCAGCTGAATAACAAGAGGATGAATGAGAGTTTACCTCGTCTTCATCTGCCATGAGACACAGTTCGTCTGACTCCTGACTGAATAGGCACAACAGTCCTTTTTCCTCATCAGTGCTTTCGTCTTCTGAGCTAGAGCTTGAGGAACTACTTTCGGTTGCAATTGTGTTAGAAGTTTCATTTACTACCATTGCCTTCCTTCTTCCTTCCTTTTTGGAGTTTGATGATTCAGGCTTGTCGCTTCTTTTATGTCTTTCTCCAGTCTCTTTTGAGGGGCTTATGGTAGTTCTGTTATCTTGATGCTTGCTCACTATGGGATGAGGACAATTTGCCTTGAAGTGTCCTGGCTTTCGACAGTTATAGCATAATAGCTGCGAGTCCATGGTTTCGGTTTTTGAGATTTGAGGAAAGCTCTCGTGCTTCTTTCGGTGGCCCGATCGTTGTGGGTCTTGAAAGTTGTTCTTTCTCATGAACCTTTTCATTTTCCTGACAAATAGTGCATATTGTTCATCAGATAAAAAATCACAAGAGTTAGATTTCGACCTGTTGGATGTTGATGCTGATTGATTTGCCATGAGAGCAATGTTTCTTGTTTCTGAATCTTCGGCATCTTTCGGTTCATGTTCGAACTCATAAGCTTTGAGATCACTGAAAATTTTGGACGTGCTTGTTGTTTTCATATCTCGACTATCCCTCATTGCAATAACCTTCATTTCCCATGATTTTGGTAGTCCACGAAGGATCATCAGATTCATTTCCTTCTCAGTTAGCTCTTTCCCGAGATCTAACAGATCGCCCATAAGTCTGGTGAATCTGAGTTCCATCTCCATGATTGTTTCATTTGGCAACATTTTGAAATCTTCAAATTTCTTCATGGCCATTGTCAGTTTGTTGTCTTTTTCTTGCTCGTCTCCTTCTCCCAAACTCATTAGGACATTCCACACTTCCATGGAATTCTTGCACTTTCGGACCCTGGGAAACAAGGAATCATCCAGAGAGTTGTAGAGAATATTTCTTGCCACATTATCCATATTTGCTCTTGTTCTTTCGTCCGTGGAATACTGGTCTTTTGGCTTTGGTATCATCTGTGGAGCTCCTGCTCCCTGTGCGGCTGCTTGAGCATTCACCATCATGACTGTGATTGGTCCGGTTGTTATGACGTCCCACATTTCATCATGAATAGAGCATAGGAGAGCTTGCATTCTTAACTTCCAGTCATCAAATTTAGCAAGACTAAATGCAAGATGCTTAGAGCGGTGGGCATGTTCCTTTTCTATTTTTGAGTAAAAAGCGTGCAAAGAAAATATGCAAGATTTTCAAGAGGTTTTCGAAAAGGGATCTACCAGGCAGTAAATGCAAAGCCTTTACCGGTCAAGGTATTGGCTCTGATACCACTTGTTAGTCCCGATAGAATGTAAAGAGAGTCTAGAGGGGGGTGAATAGACTTTTTTCGTGAAATGCCTTAACAGTCACCTTTCGGTGTTTTGGCACAGCGGAAAAGATAGATTCGTTTTAAAATACTTTGCACGAGTTTGTGTAATTAAGGAAACTTTCGGTAATGGTGAAAAAGGGATGATGCGAATGCAGAAAAGAAAAGCGTAAGTAAAGAGATAGAAGGGACACGAGATTTTATAGTGGTTCGGCCAAACGTTGCCTACTCCACTCTTCTTCCACAACTGATGGAAGGATTGCACTATCACTCTTAGTACAATTACACAAAGACTTCCTTGATCACTAAGCCGGACAGCCTTCGTAGGTTTTTCAACTTCTCGAGTTTACTCCGCCTCTATCAACTTCTTCTCCTGAGTTGAGGTTGGTAGAAAATGATTTCTTGAATTCTCCAACGATGAAGTCTTGACTTTGAGATAAGATTGCTTTGAACAAGTGGCAAGACTTCTTTTGAGGTGTAAGAAAGAGATCAATAACCTTCTTCAAGTAACATAGCACCTAAATACTGGTTCACAAAAGCTTTTAGTAAATTGATAGTGTTCAAGAGCTTTTGCAAGTTAATGAGTCGAGTGATAATGAACCAGCACCTTCTTAGTTGATGAAGGTGGGTTTATATAGGTGATGAAAATTCATCTGTTGGAGGGAGATGAACTTTTCGAACCTTTTAACCATTGGACAAGGACCGGGGAGCTTCATGCATTAAATGCTCCATTAATGAGGTTGTACCATGTAGCCGTTGAAGGTATGGAAAGCATTTGGTTTTGTCCTTTAGCTTCAGGAGATGGTACATCTTCATTTAATGCTCCTTGAAAAGTGTGCCCCATAAGATGAAGTCCTTATTGTCCTAGGATGTTGTCAAATCAGACAGGTAGAACATTCTTCTCGTTGTCAAAGAGAAGTAATGCTTGGTAAGATTCGTCTTTTAACAAAACTGTCCTTTCGTGATAGTTGACAACTCCTGCTTTAACTTTCGTTGCTGTTCTTTGTGTCTTCTTTCGCCTTGTAGATCCTAACATCTAGTCATAACTCATTTTCGTGTGTTTGTCTAGCTTAACACAAATTACAGAGGAGTTATGGCAACTCTCGTCTAGGACGAAAGCAGCGATTTAAAAAGCTAATAGTTAGAGGTCTACTTTTCTACATTACATTGGTATCATCAAAATCCTAATACAATGTTCCTAACACACGGGCCTCTACCGGACCTTACTACTGACCCATATTCTCACTCTCTGGGCCACTAACTACCCATTCTGAGCTCTTCTCCATCCTGGGCCTTTCCTCTTGTGCCTGCCTTCTCGGGCCGGGGTCCTCACCCCATCAATAGGTAAAATAGGATCAATGAAGTTTTATAAATAAAAATGAAATGTTATAATTTTGCAAATAGATCGATAGTTATTTGTAAAAATGACACTTTCTATTTATAGTTGTATCAGAATTCTTTTAAAATCTATATATATACTATATATAAAAACAAAATCCTGAACTTTAACTTCTCGCCTAATTCCTAAAAAATCTCGCTTTCCAATAAAATACTCTGTATATTGTTTTATACTTTCCTATTCGTACTATAATTCTGGGTTAGAATTCCTATTCTAATATTGTAAAATAGTGTAATACAATTCCTAATAGAATATATTGTTTTCTACTTTTCAATTCGTACTATAATTCTACATTAAAATTCCTATTCGTAATACCATAGGACAATATATATATATACACACACACACACACACACACAATATAAAACACATACACATATATACCATTGTGAATCTTGGTCCATGATATAAGGATCGACTACGTAAGGGTATGCACGGCATAAATATATTTGTACGGTAAATACAATATGATGATGATGACATCATCATCATCATCATCATCATCATCATCATCATCATCCAAACAAAACTACATACAAAATTAAATTAAATTAAAATTAAAAATAAAAAGAAGAAGACAAAGGGCTTCCCTTTGTAAATGATGTGGGATCATTTTGATCTCACATCGAAAATGTTTGGTAAGATGAGCTCTTAAGGTCCTCTATATAAGAGGAGCATCTTACAAACATAATTGTTTGCCCATCAATGTGAGCAAGTATTGAGAAGCCAAAAGGCTGTTATTTAAGAAGTTTTAGCTTAATGGCTTCTTATTTTAGTTTTCTTTTTTTACCTTATTATTTATTATTAGTGGGTTTGGGAAAGATTAACCCAAATGTATACGTGTTGTTTTAGTTTTTAGCAATTTGGAGTAAATTGTCGAGTTATTTAATAATGTTTTTGGTGTTTTAATTAAAGACACAATGTTAAAATGGCGAATTTGTTAAAATTTTGGCAAATTTGTCAATAACCAAACACGGTTATTATCTAATAATTATTATGGCATTTAACAAATTAATTGTATAGATATTAAAGTTCGTTTGGAAAGTAGAAAAATGATTTCTGAAAAAATGAGTTATTTTTCTGAAAACATTTCTTTTTAATGTTTGGCTGCACATCAGAAAATTGTCTAAAAGAAAATTATTATTATTATTATTATTATTATTATTATTATGTAATAATAAATTAAAATTACAATATTAATAATATATAATAATATAATAATATAATAATTAAAACAAAACTATATATAAAATAAAATCTATAATAAAAAAATAAAAATAAATAAAGGGGAGCCACGGGCTCCCATTTGTAAATGATGTGTGATTATTTTGATCCCACATCAAAAATGTTTGGAAAGAAGAGTTCTTGAGCTCCTCTATATAAGAGGAGCAATGCTCCTTTATATAAGAGGAGCGATGCTCCTCTTCCAAACATAATTGCTTGCCCATTAACGTGGGCAAGTATTGAGAAGCCAAAAGACTCTTATTTAAGAAGTCTTAGATTAATGAGTTCTTATTTTAATTTTTTTTTCAGAAAATATTTTTCTTTTTAATGTTCAGCTGCACAACAGAAAATTTATATTATTATTATTATTATTATTATTATTATTATTATTATTTATTATGTGATTATGTAATAATAAAATAAAATTACAATAACAATAATAATAATATTAATAATAATAATAATATAATAATAATATAATAATAATAATCAAAACAAAACTATATACAAAATAAAATTATAATTTAAAAAAAAAAAAAAAAAAAAAAAAAGACAAAGGTGATTTGTAAATGATGTGGGATCATTTTGATCCCACATCGAAAATGTTTAAAAAAAAAAAAAAAAAAAAAAAAAAAAGGAGCTCTCGAGCTCCTCTTTATAAGAGGAGCAATGCTCTTCTTCTAAACATAATTGCTTGCCCTTCAACGTAAGTATTCAGAAGTCAAAAGGGTCTTATTTAAGAAGTAATAGCTTAATGGATTCTCTTATTTAAGAAGTCATAGTTTAATGGCTTCTTATTTTAATTTTTTTTTCTAAAAATATTTTTCTTTATAGTGTCGGCTGCACAACAGAAAATTGTCTAAAAAAATTTTATATTATTATTATTATTATTATTATTATTATTATTATTATTATTATTATTATTATTATTATGTAATAATAAAATAAAATTAAAATAATAATAATATTATTAATAATCAAAACAAAACTATATATAAAATAAAATTAAAATTAAAAAGAAAAAAGGCAAAGGGGAGCCACGGGCTTCCCTTTGAAAATGATGTGGGATCATTTTGATCACAGTCTGCAATGCTCTTCTTCCAAACATAATTGCTTGCCCATCAATGTGGGCAAGTATTGAGAAGCCAAAATGCTTATATTTAAGAAGTCTTAGTATAAAAAAAAAATTATTTATTAGGGGTGCTTGGAAAATATTAACCCAAAATATATATGTGTTGTTTTAGTTTTAGCAGTTTGAAACAAATTGTTGAGTTATTAAATAATATTTATGATGTTTTGATTAAAGATAAAATAATGTTAAAATGGCGAAT